AGAATTTGAAAAATCGATTTTGAGAACTTTTTTTTTATCCTCAGCCAAACTTGAAAAGAGTGCTGAGTTCACGAGAGTTTCAATTCTGAACTACTATTTCTAACAGAAAGCAAAAGTGAAAACTATTGAGGAGAGAAACATACGTATAAGAAAATGAATATTTCGAAATAAATTCCGAAATAATAATCTCTCCCAACTACCTTCACAGTAGGGTCTGGTAATGGTCCTGCTGGATGAACGAGAAATATCTGCAAGACAAGCCTTTGTGAGGAATCTTGCATAAATGTATGTCGGATATAATTCAATATCCAGCGTGTTATTAGCCGGGAAAGTAGTTGTTTTCCGTTTTGTTTCGAAATTTATTTCGAAATACTCATTTTCGCGTAACTATTTGGGAGACTGGTGGATTGACATGACGGAAAATGGCATGTGTTGAGTTTGTTGTTGCGAATTCTCCAATTTCAATCGGGGTGGATATAAGTGTGGTTCTCTTCATCAGATTCATTTATATGGAAATATCTATGATATCAAGAAATGAAAATTTCATTTCTTGATTTTTTGCTATCCTGAGAAGTTACAATATCAACTTGCAAGAGACATAATGCTATGGAAACCAAATTCATTTTCTTGTTCGAAATGATTTGAAATACTTTGGATTTCTACTGCTTCAGCTTTATATAGAAAAATTTTGAAATCTTTCGAAAAACAAAGGCGTCATTGATTCCAAAATAAACTCTTCACGAAGACACTCCTCATAAAATTGAATCAGATATCAATCACAGAATTGCTACACAATATAGTATATGGAAGAGATGAAATTTCACTCACATGGAACACTGTCATCCTCATTGTCGGACATGTTTCGTAATAAGACAAATGTCTACACATCTTTGTGAGAGTTCATTTTGGAACTGAGTATTTCCTTCTTTTTCTCTACTATATTGTGTAGCAATCCTGTGAATGATATCTGATTAAATTCCATGACGAATATTTGGAATACAAAATGAATAGAGAAAAGTGTTTTTTGTATAATTCTGTGCTCATACGAAAGCATTTGTTTTGAAAGTATTTTCTTTTCGTGTAAGTGGCTGTTTTCGAGAGGGCTTCTTCTTCCAATTTGTGTCTGAAAGTTACTTCTCTCCATGATCGACACATCTTCGTATAGTTACCTTTTCGGAATCGATTGCTTTTTTCCTTTCTTTATAATCTTCCCACAATCTTTCTCTCTCAGAAATTGGTCTCAAGTAAATATAAACACCTAAAAATTTAGAATTCAAATGCTTTTCAAAAACACTCAACGTGATTCATCTTATACCATAGATGAATCACGTATTCCTTGTAAATACAATATTTCAATGCAAATGTTGTAGTTTGACGATTTGTGACAGGAGCCAAAGTGGTCGTGAGAATGTAATCATCAGTGACGGATTATTAAAAGTCATGTATGACTAGAGATACAATCTATGTGTCAAAAAATGTCAATTTTCAATTTTTGGTCTGCCTTCTCCAAAGAATACATTACTATTCTGAAGACCTTCTTGGGCTGTTTTCCCCTTTCATAATCTGAAAATTTTAATGGGGAACTTCATATAGGGTCTTCCAAACAGGGACTTCCGAATTTTGACAATTGATAACGGATATACCTATTGTTGAAGCTACTACATCTGTCAAATTAGTTGTTAGTTATTCAGTTTTTTTTGACAAATCACCAGTTTGATCTTCCTCTTGAAGATGATCACTTGGTGATCGAAATACGTGTCGAGGTGTCAAAATAACGGTTGGGTGTTGGGAAAACATTCCCGTAATTATCATTAAATCACCATGGATAGATGTAGCATCCAACAAAATGTTCAAATAACGAAATTGTTGTATATCAAAATGGGTATTCCATTCGGTAAACGTAGCACGCGCTCAGTGTTAGTTTTTTAAATGAGAAGTCCAAAAGTTTCAAATAAAACAACTCCGTTGAGTGTCGGTCATTACATACATTTTTATTGACTGTTTTCATACATCGTTGCCAAGTTCACTTTTTACAACTTGAAATGACAGTTGACACTTTTTGCCAGGATTATCGTAAAATAGTTTTTTGGGCTTTTACCAACACTCCCACTAGCTCAAAAAATTATTTGAACAAAACAATAGATACCAAACAATTTTTAACGTATTTCATTTCACTTCCACTATACCCAACTCTCTAATGAATTTATTATGTTTAACAGCACACAAGCTTTTTATCAAAACATCGGCGGGCATGTTGGAAGTTTCCAAAAATTTGAGTTCTACATGTTTATGAGCAATGGCTTCTCTTATAAAATGATGTTTTATATCAATGTGTTTCGTCCGTTTATTTAATATGGGATTAGCTGATAATTTTTGAGCTCCCTCATTATCATTATATAAAGTTACACACCCTTGAAAACCTATCAAATCATATAATAGATTTTTCAAATAGTTGGTTTCTTTAGCGGCCTCTGATATTGCCATGTATTCTGATTCCGTGCTCGAGAGAGCAACTGTTTTTTGTTTTCTACTTTCCCAGGTGAAAGCCCCATTTGAAAATCGAAAACAGAAACCAGTATACGATTTCCTATCATATGTGTTGCTACCCCAATTGGCATCAACAAAACCTTCATGAAAAGCATCATTTTTACAAAAATGCAATCTATAATTCTTGGTTTGCTTTGAATATCTTAAAATTCGCTTGCCATGCTTCCAATGCGTTTTTGTGTGGCAGTTATTAAATTGACTACGATAACTCACTGCAAAAGAAATGTCAGGTATTGTTAATACAGAAAGGTACATGAGGCTTCCGATCAGTTGGTGATAGGGAACCTTATCTGCACTTTCACTATCACTTGGTCTCTCCAAGTTCAAACCTATCTCCATAGGAGTACTAACTGATTTTGACTCAAACATGTTAAAATATTTTCAGTGAATGATCTACATACTGTTCTTGATTGAGGTATATGGAATTATTTTCTCTGTCTCTAGTTACTCGCATACCTGAACATTTTTTAATTTCTCCTAAATCATTGATCTTAAAAATCTCACCTAATTTTAATTTCAGGTCATCTGACTCAGTTTTATTATTATTGGTAAATATGAAAAATCATCCACATAAATTGGAATTATTGGTTTTAGATGATTTTTCAACTTGGTGTATGAACAGGGTTCCAAGTTTGATCTTTCATAGCCTAACTTATTAGGAAGATAATCAACTTTTTCATACCAAGATCGTGATGATTGTTTAAGGCCATAAATAGCCTTTTTGAGCCTTAAAACTTTATTTTCAGAACCTTGAGTTTCCAGACCTTCAGGTTCCATCATGAATACTGTTTTTTTCAAATCTCCATTAAGAAAGGCTGTTTCACAATCAATATGGAAAATGCTCAAATCTAATTTGGCTGAAAGAGCAAATAATAGTCTTAGAGTAGAGTGTTTTACTACGGCGAAAAAGTTTCATCAAAGTCTATACCTTGTCTTGGTGTGAAGCCTTTGGCTACAAGCCTAGCTCGATATCTCACACCACCAACACTATCACTTTTGCACTTGAATTCCCATTTACATTTCACAATTGGAAAACTCTCTGGGATATCAGCTAACTCCAAAGCTGCATTATCCTGAAATGACTGTAGCTCCTCCTGCATGGCTCGCGTCCAACAGTCTCGATTTGGCCTGGACATAGCTCGTACTTCAGCTTCTTCAGCCTAATTTATTCACCAGAATCATGGAAAATTTGACGTTTCGGGTGCGCTCTATACAGAGAAGCCGTGGTGGATATTTGAACGATGTTATATTTAACACATAATGGCATTAATATGTCATTCAAAGGTATGGAAAACTTCGATATCCCACCCTTTGTTTCATTCAAATTTGAAGATGACTCAAGAAAGACAAATAGAGAGAGTCAGCAGGGAAAAAACTGCCGATATACTTAGATAATTTTCCAATTCTGAAGACAGAGGCAAATTTCAACCTCCAAAACGTTAATATAAGATTTCAAGGATGTACTGGTGGAGAGAGGGTCAATTGTAAATCCATCTCAACTCCTGGGTTTTTTATCAAACCATACTCATAAGTGCTGAAAGTATAATACTAATAGTGATAATAATAATTGGTGAAACTTTTCAAACAAAATTGTGTGTTAATCTCATTGAAAATTCTTTGGTGATACTTCTTGAGTTTATTAATAACAGTTACCTTAGATCTCACTCATTCTGATCAGAAGTTAGTATGCAATGTACATTGGATAACATCTACAAACATGTGTTACATTTATCAAGTGTCCTGCTGTTCTGAGGGTTGATAATGGACTGGTGTATTTTTCACCTTCAGTCTTTATTATGAAATGCAGAAAACATCATTTGTTTCCATTGCATATACATTCCAAAGCTTGAATGATAAAGCATGGATCGATCCACAGTGATTGATTTATTAACGGGAAATGTTAGATGCTAGGCCCCCGGTGACAAGTATTTTTTTGTCTATACTATAATTATTTTCTTAAATTTCTATCATTTCACGGTGTTATCAAAATTGAACTGACGGTAAATAGGTGCATGTTCTGCTGATGAAGTTTCATTTTTCTTCAGTATTGAATTGTAAAGTTGTGTACATCTTTTTTGTTCTGCAATACGTTCTTTTAGATATAGTTTCGTCTTTCCTATATATACTGCATGGAACCCTTGACACGGGATATCTTAAGAAAAGTATCTGCATGACTTTCAAGCTTCATGCAGTAACTAATCGAGATGAACTAAAAATCTTGCTCTTTCTACACGTATATGAAGTTTTCCAATTCAATTTTCATATTTGTCAGAGTGTGGAAGATTTACACGTCCGAAGTAGGTCGAAAGAAAACTCTTAACTCTCTTCACAAGGATGACTTTCTCTCAATACCTTTCATTTCATCCAGTTCACCATTCAATTTCATATGTAGAAAACATATTTTTCAGAATTTTGAAATAGTATTTTCAAAGCTCGTACTATTTTTGTTACAGGGTGCTTCAATAGGTGTTATTGCCGGTCACTTGGTTACTCTCTGGATAACTTTTGGAGGACTCACCGTCGATAAACCACCAGCAAAAGTACTACCTCTTTATACAGATGGTTGCAGCAATACATCATTCAATGATCATATTTTGAAGCCTGAACATAGGGCCCTCAGCTGGACCCCCACAACAACTCCGTCTCCATATCATATCTACAATGATACACATACTCTGCTGAACACTACTAGAGCGGCTCCATCGTAAGTATTATTGGATATGTCGAACAATAATTATTTTATCAATAATTCATCTCATGTGTGCTTGTGTGCTCAGTGCTTGCAGATTCCAATTTCACTTCTGAAACAAATCTTCCAGATTCAATAACTGACTATATCAGTCAATAAATATTGATAGGGATTGGGGAAAATAACAATTTTCCAAAACCGCAGGACATTTTGATTTAGAATTTGAGATTTTTTGTCCATCACATTTCATTGTTGAATGTTATTGAATTTTAGTAACCGAAATTAGGTGATATACAAACATTTTCTATACTGATATTAAAAATGTGAAAGTTTGTGAGGATGGATGAAAGTATGTATGTATGTATATATGTTTGTGGTTCTTTCACGCCTAAAAGACTGAAGGGATTCAGATGGAACTCCACATAAATACACCTTATACATCAGAATAACATTTAGGCTACAATTCACAAAAGTTTTGTGTAACCTTGCATATATCTCACTCTTATATGGTAGCCTCTATATGCAAAATTAAACTGGAAGCACATTTTAGAATATCTGTCAAATTCTTTTGATACAATTGTCATTTTAGGTATTTAATATAGGTGAACTTTGTTTTTCACACTAAGTAATTTGGACGAATCGTTTGAAAGTTATCACGATAAGATTAACTTGACGCAATGTAGTGAGCCATTACGCGTCGCGTCTACTGTAAGACTACGGGGGACGATGCGCGGGGGTAGGGGGTGGTCTATGCAATGAAGCGTTGTCGCCGAGAATGTGACCCGAACGCGGGCAGACGCGTGAAGGCAGACGTCGTTGACGGTTGTTTTGCGAAATTTTTTATAGGTAACATAATTCCATTTTCGAAGCTTTTCTACTTTTTTTTCAAAGTTAAAATATGAATTACTGTTTTACATGGTGTTTATTAAACCTGCAACAAAAATTCAAAGGACTATTCCTCAGACTATTCTAAGGATATTTTGTCCTTTGACGATAGGGCGCTTTGTTTCGAAGATACGGGGCGGAAAAGAATTTCGACAATAACAATTCATTACCAAAAATTACATATACTCTTTCAAAAACACCAGGATAGTTTCTGATTGCGTTACACTTAGCAATTTTCCGATTTCTCAAATCATCCACATCTTCCACTGTAATCGGAATGTTGTTGATAGGTACTAACAGAATTGTTATATTTCTTGGTAGGCCCAATGTAGTACGTTATACTTTTATTTCCACTACGTTAATAATTTCAAAATTACCAAAATAATTATTGTCGAAATCCTTTTTCGCCCCGTATCTTCAGAACAAAGCGTCCAATCAAAAATCATCAAAGGAAAAAATATCTTTAGAATAGAGCAAGGAACGGTTCCTTAGTTTTTTGCTGCATGTTCAATGACCGCCCTGTATAACAACTATCATTTGAATCCGTTCAGCACAAACTTTTCACATTTATAATATTAGTAGGAGTAGAATTACCAATGTATTGGTCGAAACTACTGAACCTAGAATTTCGAAATACGCAGGTAGGTTCTTTGTATAGCGTAAATAAGCATCAAGAATGGGAATCAGAAATTTCCACCCCCAAAGGGGGAAAATAGGGGATCAAAGATTGTATTGAATTTTGTCAAAGATTTGAAGTTGGAAAATTGAAAAATATTGTAACTTTTTGGTTAAAATAGTCTGTCAGGAAACTTAATGTGACCAACCAAATTCTACGTGGGCGGAGCCGCGGACAACAACTAGTCTTTTTATATTATGAAGATTTTTTAGATTCCATGTATTCTTTGCTGATATTTCTACATATTTTTTCAATGTGTTTATGAATTCCAGATGTTATTGTAACATTTGTTCTATTCTCGAAAATGACATATTCAAATAACACTCAACATAACACTTCAGCAACTCAAAATGAATTTTATCAGAATTATTATAGTGAATATTCTCCAGAATATTTGAAAACATATTATAGATCACGAAACCATCAATTGATCGCATATATCGTTTTAGATAAAATAATACCACTAATGTCAATCTTGTTGCTAATCGAGTTTTTTCTAGATAATAAGCATATTTACAGTAATTACATCTATTAAATCCAATGGTGAATGTATGACAACAAAGAATAATCCTTGATTGTACTGTTTTTTTATGATTCATATAGTTTTCACAGTAAACTCTGTAATATGGGTTTTATAATATGACGTATTGTATAAGATGGCAGACTATGTTTATGTGCACTTCATGACATGGATATCAAATGAAAGGATTCAAGTGATAAATGTAATGTTATCAAATTTTATGAAGACACTGAGGAAAATGTCCAGCGATAACTGAAAAAGAAAACAAAAATTGAAAGATATGATAGGACTGACCGACACTTAATTAAAATACATTGTAACGGATTCAAAAAGCACACTCCAATGTGAGATACTTTTGAGTAATGTGACGCCCGAAGATGCTATCATATAGCGGAACACGTATCTGGGTTTTGTAAACTCCAAAGTCTGAATCTCACATTATACTGTGTTTTTTGAATACGTTAATTATGAAAAACATTCACAAAAACAAGCTTCCATTTGCATTATCCTGAAAAAAGGAAATAAACTTTTCGACTTTCACCTGTATGCAGATAAACGAGAATACAATATGTAACTTGATCCCGATAAGTTTTTATACAAAATTAATTTCATAATGCAATGAATTGATGTTTGATTTGATTCAGAGGTTTTTAGGAGCATATAAATGAAACTTTTTCTTAATGTTTTCCACTATTGATACTCGTCGTTAGGATTTTCATTTGAGTGAATTTGAGTTAATGTTTTGAATATAAATTCATTGTTCTCAGAAACTTTGTAGTTTATAGATTTTATAGAACTGCAATCAATTTTATTTCTGGTTATTTTGCATTTCACGAAACTTTTTCTCTGAAGTTCATCAATTTCTTGTTAAGGGCAATTCAATGGTAATTCAATTGAAACGATATTAAGATTTACGATGTCAGTTTTTTAAGTGACTTTTCTCCTAGTTGAAGCAGAAACTCAATGGAAGAATGTCGTGAAAAGTACACATGAAAGTAGCTTTACTTTTTGGCATGATTCCTACTGCATATTCAGTGACAAAGTGATTAGAAATACTGGAGTCACAGACATGAGCGTTAGAAGATAACGATGGAACATTTGGAATGACGAAATCTATAACATACTGACTGAAAAATTATCTTCCTGGATTGAGATATCGTTTTTGTAAACATCAGAAACGGCATTGGATTCTGCAAGTCCCAGATCTTCGCCTCATCTATTTATGAAAAAAATTGCTTAAAAATTATAATATAGTACAGATTTTTGTTGGTATTCGAACAAAAATATATACAAAAACTCATTAATACAGTTTATTGTATGATTTTCACTATAAAGTGTTCTACATTGAAAATCATACAATAAACTGTATTAATAAGTTTCAATATGGATTTTTATCAAGTAATGGCCTGTTCTATTCCATTCAAAAATTTACAACATTCCAAAAATTGAAAATTCTCACAAGCAACCAAAAAGTTTCCCAAGGAAAATAATACTCATACAATTTGCGAAAATGAGTGAGAAAACAATCATTTTAAAAAAATACATATATCTAATTTTCTCTTCCCTCAAATAATTCAACTTTATCTCTGGCAAACAAGGCTGAACCGAATAGATTTTGTCTAATATAATAAATCATGTTACTACCGCCTACTTGATTCCATCGTAACATTCTTATGCCTGATGCGGTCAGTGGGGATCGAAAATTGACGTGACGGAATTTCTAAATTTTCATTATTGCACTGCGCGCCTTACACAGTTTATTGGACAGGAATTCGAATCTACTAATAGCCCGGGAGCCCGCAATATACAATTTCGTGGTATGAATTGTTGACATACTATTCGTAGATGTGCATAAGCTTTGTAGGAAAATCGAATATCAAACATTAAATAAGTGTTTTCGAAAGGCAATCCGCCTACGCAAATCAAAGATGAGTTGGATTCGGTATATGAGGACCATTTTCCAACATTTACCAGCTGAATTCAAACGTGGCCGTGAGAGTTTGGGAGACGATGAATGTTAGGGATGTTCAAAAACTGCAAATATCGACGAAAACATCGCCAAAGTTCACCAAATGGTGCAGGGGTTATGAACATGTCAAAAAAACGTGTTTGTCACACACTGAATCAACATTTAGACATAGGAAAACTGTTCGAAACCAAAAACGTATTCGAATGAACCTTTCCAACGCTCTGTTGGCGCAGTTTAGGTGCAATAAATCCGAGTTTTGCGGCGATTGACTCCTGTAGATGAAACTTGGGTACACTGTTATACGCCCGAAACAAAAATACAGTCCACACAATAGGCTACCAAGGGAGAACCGATTCCAAATGAAGCAAAAACTGGTTACTGTTTTTTATATAGTCATGGAGTTATTTTGATCGATTATCTTCAGAAATGAAAACTATTACAGGAGCTTACTATGCATCATTACTTGACAAACTGAAGGCAGAACTTGCGCAATAACGTCCACATGTGTGTTGCGAGATTTGATTTATATATTACTGGGTTCACGTATGCCTTTTTGTGCTCTTCGTACCTTTGGATCAGTTTTTTCTTATATCGGCCAAACCAAGAAATATATACATCAAGCCTCGCAATACACCAAACAAACATAATTTCCCTCCACCAGAGAACATAAAACTCATAAAACATAGTCAATAAGGGAAACCGTATGGACATCTAAACTTAAACAACCATAAATTCAACAATCATAATTCACTTATCGAGGAACAAATACAAATCAAAACACAACAAGACCTAACATTCAATATATTCGGACCGAATAAAAGGAAAAACAAGAGGTTGGCACGTTCAGTTTGATTAGAGCCTTGATGATGATAGCACGACCAGCTGTCTAAAGCGCTCGCATATAATTAAATAGGAGTTATAAAGCTTCAAAGCCTTTTTGTAACTTATATTAATATTAAAATACTGAAAATGAAGGAAAATTAGTTGCATCATTCAATATGAAATTTACATAAGTTCATTAATATATCACCAAGTCCCATCCAACAACAGGTCTTTAATATTTTTCTTGTGTATGGTTACAGATAATTTTTGTCGAAATTGGACGTTTACATTGTACGCTTCTGAAAGCCTCTGAATTTTTGAGTAGAGTTATGAAGGTTTGTATGTGAGTAGAATTTTGTGACATTATACACAGCGATGCAAAATACGTCTTTTGTTCATAGACAACCAGCCTAGTCCAGTAATGTAACTCGTAATGATACTGCATATCAGTCGGCAAGAGTTTTGAAGTCTTTGTAGGCGAGTTCTATCGGAGTTTTTGATAGCCGGCCCGTTAACAACATCACAGTAATTCAGCTGGGACAAGACTAATGACTCGCATAGGTTGCTTTTTCATTCTCTATTTAGAATCTCTCAGTTGGAATAGGTCAAGTTTTAGGTTCACAAAAGTTTTTTTGATTTTATGTGATATATGCGTGAAGAATGTGAGAAAGTCATCAAGAAACAGGATTATATTTTTTTCTCAGTATGACAGAGTGTTTCATTGCGAATGTGAATGGGAAATCAGGGGTTTTTGGTCGATTCTCTCCCAAAAAATATAGCTTTGGATTCAATTGGGTTAATGGATGAACAAAAATTTTCAGATATATCGACAAGTCTCGCGAGATTTTTGTTAGCCTCATTGCAGGCAACAATATCTACTTCATCAAAAGCGAGGTAAAGCTGCGAGTCATCCGCATAGAAGTATGCTGTTACATGTTTCAAATGTTTACAGAATTGAGAGTTGTAGATAGTGAAAAGTAGCGGGCCCAATGTTGAACCCTGAGGGATCCCTGTGCGTTTATTGAGATGAGCAGCAATAATTTGCTGAGATGTTGGAGAGAAGCATATACCTATAGTGTAGACTAGCTAACAACAAATCAGGATCAATTCAGTCGAATGTTTCATGCGAAAATATTCGAAATGAAAAAATATTATGATTCTTGGAGAGAAAACAATTGAATGCCTGCTTCTATGAAAAATAAATATTTTCATTTTTGTTAAAAACCAATTAAATACATGTGTACACATATTTTCAACAATTCAATGTATTTTTTGATATATCGACTCATTTGACTATTCTATACTGAATCTATTTATTTATTCATTTCATTCATGTCAATTCATATTTTATATTCTGTATGTTGAACCAGCTGTACTGCCAGTAAAATGCTACTGAAAATCAGTTGCTATAAATAACCGAAATTTCATGTTCCATCGACGATTTGTACCTATATATGGACAATTCATTCAAAATATTCAGTTACTAGCGGTTGAATCAATAAAAGTAATTGGGCAGTTCTTATCACATCAGCAGGTTTGTCAATTATAAACCTTACTGTTCCTCGCCCTTTTGCAGAGTCACATATCCAGATTTCCAAGTTGTTATATGAATTTTCTGAACAAATTTCATCAATTTTGATTTGTTCGTGAGGGGCTTTCTTTAAAAAGTGCTCATTTTTCGAATCATGTTCTGGAACAAGTGCCAAAATTGCAAGATTCCTTGCGGTTTTCGATGCAAAGCCGATGTCTTTCAAGGGCGCAAAGTTGATTATTGAATACGCCTTTCTTTGTATCTTGCATACTTGGACTATCAGGCATTGAACAGCAAATTGTAGCAAATCGAATCAATTATTCTTACCATCACATCAAAAATCATAGTATCAAACCAATAAATCATACATGAATTTGTTCGTTGGCTCAACATCCTGCTATTTGTGAAGTAGTCAGAATTTTAATAGAAATGGATATTCTGTTGAAAATAATTTGAATTTGTTTTTATTCCAGCGACCCGCTGACTCAACTTTACTCAATCACCTATATGTATTATGCTTTCATCGGTTGCTTCATCACCATCTTGTTTGGCTGGACAGTCTCCTACTTCACCGGTAGTTCAGACGACAGATATGATGAAGAACTCATTCATCCCATAGCAAGAAAGATGGCACAATACTTCCCTGGTAAAAAACGCATCTATTCTCAGAAAGTGGAATGTCTAGACGAAAAAAGCGAGAAATATGAAACGTGCCACAGAGCATCAGGAGAAAAGTCAGAAGCCGCAAGTACGAATATACTAGAATGCAAAAAAGGTGCCCTCAATCCTACTTTCAGTCCAGACTCCTCTGACGAACCTATAGACGGCATTTACAAAACCAAATTGTGATTTTTGCTAGAGCTCTATACAAATAGAGGACGCTGTGTGCGTCTCTCAGTGCCTTATACGATTAGTAACATCTGTGATCTCTAGCTTTTACGAGTATACTACTGTTAAGTTGGTTTGTTAAACAACCTTTGGAGATTTTCTTTCAGTAGATTATAGTTGAAATGCATGATTTGGCTTTTTTATATATGACACTTAAGTTATCATTAATTTGTTTCGTTAGTTTTTAAGTTAGATGACAAGAACTCAATATTCACTTGAAGAAAGACTATTAGGGAATTTAAAGGAGGAGCTAATGCATACTTGTATGGAATTCATCATATCCATCGGAAAGAATGTATTCGTGTTGTATCACATAGAACAAGTTATTCAGGAATCACCATCAAGATGAAAATACGTCTGGGCTTCCTGGCTATATGCCTGCAGCCTATAAGAAAACCCTTACATTTCATTAATTACTATAAATCCCTCAAATAAGATATTCATTTCTCATATTTTTTTTGGAAATTTCAGATAAGTATTTCAAATTCAAATGTCTATATCAAGAATAGTAAAACGAGGCGCCACCTCTGAAATAAAGAGTGATATTGAAAAATACAATACGCTAAATAATTCCGGACTTCATAATTTCCAATGATTGGTGAAGTCTTTATAGCTTTATGAGAAAATGTCCGTACCGAGAGTTCATATAAAGATATCTGTTTTTAACCGAATATAAATTATTTGTCAAAGAACATATGGCGGTGTAGCCAACTGCAACAGAAGTCCGCCATGGATTTGTGTTGTTTCCAGCAACACAAGTGTTGTCCATTCTTGAAATTGGCTACCCTGTTTGGATGACAACCAATAAGTCAAAAGGACAAATCTGCCGTTGAAGTTTTTTTGAAATCTGTTCTTTAATTTCCTTCGTTTTGAGAAAGGTTGGCAACTAGTTCGGCAAGTAGATTGAATAATGGTTTAACTTTGGTTTCTAGTTGATACAGGATGATACCAATGAATCTGAACTTCAAGCCAGCTCCAACGAATATCTACTTCTAACAGATGTAATATCACACTTGATATAAAATATTGTGATGAGAAAGTATTTTTCATGTCTTTATGATTTACTGTTATGGCCTAACTGCGATAAAAAAAGTTTAAAGCCTGAACCCAATTTCATTTAGTGAAACTGACTAAGACTCAGAATGAATATCAATCATTTGGTGATAAGGTGGTGTATAAGGAATTCAAGAGTGAACCAGGACTATATTATGATCTTTCTACACTATTCATAGTATAATATCCATATTATTGAATTTTTGAAAACATTATGAAAAGTAAGTTTTCAGAATTTCGAAAATTCTGATGGATAGTAAAACCATGGTGAGTCTGCCTGGAGATTATAGAAGTCAAATCCAATTCGCAGAAAGGTAAGACCTCGTTTCATTCAGCCTTTCATAAAACACATATTTTCAAATATTGTCATCTTGATGGAGATGACCAATTCATTTTATCCATAGATATCTCCTCGATTCTTAATATGATTAAAGTTTTTGAAGTTCCTTTACAATACTACTGATAACAGTATTATTATTATATCCCTTATATAAGTTCAACATCTACCTAGCCAAGTATACTCAACTGTTTGACTATTATTTATTTCATGTTACTTTGGTTTCAGTTGAAAACATTTTGTTAAAGTTATTAACGTGTAGTTGAATAGGATTCACTTGACTCATCCACTAACTTGTTTTTTATTGTAATATTCATATAAGTGGTAGTTCGTATTTTTCTACATATTCAATGTGATCATGAATGACCACTCTATAGCATATAGTGATTTTTAGACGAGATAGATGTGCTTTTGGAATGTCATAGTACTTATATTCATGAAACAGATCTGAGGTTTGGCTTATTCATTGATAAACAGTCATCAAACGCGTATTATCATATTTTTGAATTTTCAAGATTTCTTTTATAGTCCAACTGAAAATGAAGAGTATTGTGTTCTGCCTTATAATTCTGAATACAAGCAATTGGTAATAATTGTATTTTTATTGCGACTGGACGATACTTGATGAAAATTTTAACTAATTGATTCACTGATTAATAATTCACATAAGATTTTCATAAAATTGTTGTAACGAACTCGTACACGTGTTTCGATACACGGTACAATGAATTGCAAGAATTTTTGTTATAGTTATTTTCTTGCTGGAATATGGTATTCCAGATTTAATATGCATATATCCTCTTGTACATGACTTTGACCATGTGTTTTGATAGTTCATCCATTTATATTAAATGTACTATTTTCTGTTAATTTAGTTTACTTATCATGAATAAAATATTATTTTTGTAACTGATGAAAGAGTTTTTTTTGTCAACTAGTAATAATAACTTGGATTTTTTCGTCTAAAATAATCTGTACCTTTTTTCCGCTATTCTCTTCATTTTTCTGAACTTTTCCGACAATTTTGTTCGTTTCCTTTCGAAAATGAACTAGCACCCTTATAAAAATATATACCCTTATAATAATGATAATAAGTATGACCTTCATTAACCATATGTGTATAACATACAATAAAATGAAATGAAGCTGAATAGCTCCAGTATAATTGAAAGGAGCCCGATCAGTCAGATTGATCTTCCTCGGGAGCCATCGGTACAGAAAAATATAGCTAAGGCTGAAGATTACAGATAAACTCCCAAAAGAATTATGTGTTATGGTTGATTTTACCAAGGCAAAAAATGTTAAGGGAAGGAAACAAATAAAATGAATCGAAATTATTGAACGAAAGTTTTTATCTGTTCAAATCTTATCGACTTCCAGTTTTCTGTTTCGTGTTTTTGGGCTGTAATGAATTTTCGTCCTCTTTCGTTTTTGGTTGACCCTAATTTTTTGTTCGATAATTTTATTAGTTTGTTGTATCCAAAATTGAGGAGGCAACACAATGGATTTTTCCTATGTACAGTTATCTTTTGACTCACTACTATTCTGAACTTCTTCTAATCCCAGTAGATCATCCACAGTGAGCACTTCTAGAGTACTTCCCTAATGTTTCTGGATAGATTTCATGTTTTCAGATACAAAACAAGTTCAAGAACAACGGGGGATTTGAAAGACTTTATTTCGATTTGATATATGTTGTTGATATCTTGTTCAACCAGGTTGATGCCAAGGAGACTATTGGGAGTTCGAGTAATTTCAACTAGCAGATTTTTCTCATTCGCAATATTCATGACAAATGTGACAATATTATTTCTTCGTGCTTTTTTTCTTAGTTCAATTCTGTTTTCATTCCGTCAGTCATAGTCATAGTTTGAATCAGCCTGCATAATTTCGAACACCTAAGACCTTTCCCAGGTTTATCTTCATGTGTCATGTTTATCTTCTCATCTAACTTCAATTGATAACAAACTATTTAGACAATGTGATTCCTTGTCGTTATAATCTATATGCACTTTCGAATCACCGTGGGTCTACCTATAGCTGATATTATACAGCATTCTGCAGACATCCCTATACTGAATCGCTTGTAAGTGGATATGCATACATTCTCTTTTATGAAAAGGAGAAAACGAGTTCATACTTTCGAGTATTATGAAAAGTTATTTTTGTACTGTTGATCTTAATGTTATAATGAATTTAATCTGTAGTTTTTATTTTATTAACACACCTTCTGTGGAGGTTTTTTGAAAATATGTTAGACAATAACCGGTATGTTTTTTATTTACTGAGATAGGTATTGTTTGATATGCGAAGTTGATCTTTGATATAAATGATCTGATCTATTTTTTTATGATTATGAGTAAATGGTGATGTCTACTCACATTCAGATTAGTTAATAAGCACTATTTGAATCAACAGGCAAGTTCACTACAATGAATGAGTATTGTTTTTCACTGTTTATAATAAATAATATGCATTGTATACAAGTTACAAGATTGCCGATGAAAGGCGAAGTTCAGCTTACGCTGTTTTACAACTTAACCTATTAACTTGAGGTGAAAAATAAATAAAAGGTATCTAAAAAGAGAAGAAAATAAAGTAATGAAAAGAGTTTCGTCCTATATGGACATTCTCAAACTAATACAATAAACTAACATTGATTCATTACATTCGCCAATATATACCATTCAGGTACTTGATTGAGTACCTGAATTTACAGTTCACAATGCGGATGTGCCAATTTAAAAACCGGAGAGTAAATTAAATCGATTGAATAATTTAACAGGTTGCACCCGCAATGTGTATGCTTGCAAATTTCCAAGGATTCTAAATAATTGAGTTTGCAACCCTTCCTTGCCTAGTGCAGAATTTCCGTATCGTTTACATTCGGAAACTTGTGGTTGCATGCCAAGGAATGGTTTGAAAACGTCAAATTATTTTTTCCTAGTCTGAAGGACTTTTCATGTTCAGCATACCGTTTTTGGAAATTTCGTCCGAATTGTTCCACATAAACACTATTACACTCCGGACACTTGATATGATAAACTCCAGATTTTTCCAACTTGTCGACCTCATCTTTGGCATTGAAAAGGAAATGAGATAACCTGGCATGTGGTCTGAATGCTACTTCCACATTGTTTTTTCTGAAGAAACCTGCTATCTAATATGTCTAAAATGAGGGGCTTACACTCGTTGTACGGTATGTTGGAGAACATAATCTTAACATCAAATGAAACTAAAATTGAATTATGTGGCGTGGTTTCGTTCCTTATGTTTTCTACTGAAGTCAGTGAATTTTTAATGATGTGAGGTGGGACGAAATTGTTAATAATTTTGAACAACTTGTCAAGACGTATTCCTTGTTATTTTACCGGACTATTTATATACGAAACTACCGGCCATGTGGGGTTATCCCCTTTATGTGTTTTCATCAGGCAATACAGTTCAGGGCAAGAGGGGTTCATGTTGGTGATTATCCGTTTCTATGATTCTGTGAAAATGATTTTAGTGTCAAAGAGGAAAATTTTCCGTTCATTTTGACAATTTTTCGTCGGATCTTTCTTGATGACAGTAAGGTTTCCATCTCGAATGACTGACCTCAATGGCATTCGATTTATCAGCTTTCGTGAAAACAAGATCATTATTTCTTATTTTATGTTGTATAGTTTTTATTATGCCGGTTTCTCTACTGTTTGATAAAGAGAATGAATGGTTCTGAATTACTTCATTTATCTTGTATGACCCTTTATCTCTATTATCTGTCTGTTTCAATGCAATAGCTGTATCTGTTATCAACGTATCCAAACAATTTTTAATAATAATTGTTGGTGTATATTTTGGTCCCTTGGACATTGTTGAGATTTCCCATTTGTTAAATTCTACTTTGGTCAAGTTAATGATTGTTTCGCTGAACTGGATATCAGGTTCGACTGATTCTCTGTTTATGATATGTTGTTGTTTCTGTGTTAGTGCCCTAAGTTTCTTGAGTTGAGTTTGGTACTTCCGGTACATGAAATCACTAATTGTAGACCTAACTTGGTCATAAAAAATGTCAAATTCTATCTGGTGAAATTTATAAGTAAGTTCCGAGTGTAATACCTTCAAATTATGTTGCAGGATATTCCTTTTTGAGAACAGTGTACTGCACTCTTCTTTTAGTCAGATCACTCGTGCCTTCATTGTCGCCTTTTCCGCTGCTGGTGGTTTTGTCCTGGTCCTGATGTTAATGTATTTTGGAGTAATTTTTCTTCTCAGGTATTCTTGGTTGAACCATAAATTCTGCGATGCTGATGGTACTCCATTTTTAGTTTGCTTCTTTCAATAAATGGATGAATATATATTCGTGACTACGTGGTAGGAGACCATAATGAAAAGATAAATGAAAATTTCTATGTTTTTTACCACTTTCAATTGTAACTAATGTTAATGCAGTTTCGTGCTATATGGACATTCTTAAACTTATACAATAAACTAACAATGATTCATTACATTCGCCAAACAAAGAAGGAAATTCAATCACAAATTAATATATCCTCAGGTCAAACAACCAGAGATCAAGAAATGGGTATTGCTAACATATTTTGGTAAAAAAAAATAATAATCGCAGGTTTCTTCAGAAAAAACAATGTGGAAGAAACATTCAGACCACTTGCCAGGTTATCTCATTTCCTTTTCAATGCCAAAGATGAGGTCGACAAGTTGGAAAAATCTGGAGTTTATCAGCTTAAGTGTCCGGAGTGTAATAGTGTTTATGTAGGATAATGCCGACGGAATTTCCAAAAACAGTATGCTGAACATGAAAGGTCAGACTATGAAAAAATAATTCGGCGTTTTCAAACCATTCCTTGGCATGCAACCACAAGTTTCCGAATCTAAACGATACGGAAATCTGCACTATGTAAGGAAGGGTTGCGAACGCAATTATTTAGAATCCTTGGGAATTTACAAGCATAAACATTGCGGGTGCAACCTGTTAAATGATCAAATCGATTTAATTTACTCTCCGGTTTTTAAATTGGCACATCCGCATTGTGAACTGTAAATTCAGGTACTCAATCAAGTATCTGAATGGTATATATTGGCGCATGTAATGAATCATTGTTAGTTTATTGTATTAGTTCGAGAATGACCGTATAGGACGAAACTGCAGTAATGTTAGTAACAATTAAAAGTGGTAAAAAACATAGAAATTTCCATTTCTCTTTTCATTATGATCTCCTAACACGTAGTAACGGCTACATCCATCAATTTAATGTAATGTATCAAAGTAAGTAAATGATTACAAATTCCAAGTTAGCTCTGAAGAATATAGCTATATAATACATCACAGTGAATGAAAATGATTGATTAAATAGGGTAGAAAGAGTTATATTATAAGGAGTGATATTATAAGGAAATCAATAATCAATAACCAGTAAGGAATCAGCCAAAAAATATT